AGTAGCACGGGCTATGGTGAGCCCGTAGCTTACCTGGCACAGGAGCGGGGCCAGTAGCACGGGCTATGGTGAGCCCGTAGCTTACCTGGCACAGGAGCGGGGCCAGTATCACGGGCTATGGTGAGCCCGTAACTTACCTGGCACAGGAGCGGGGCCAGTAGCACGGGCTATGGTGAGCCCGTGGTGGACTTACCTGGCACAGGAGCGGGGCCAGTAGCACGGGCTATGGTGAGCCCGTGGTGGACTTACCTGTCACAGGAACGGTCCTGAATGTCCGATAACCTCAAGAACACGGGAGGTAATAAAGTGATTGCCATAGCTCCAGGTTCCTCGTGCTGGAAGGTCTGAAGTGTCTCATGTCTGGCCATTCAGTAATGTTGTGAGATTATGACTCAGTTCCAGCTAACAAAGGTTGCACTTGGAGTGCTCAGTATAGGCCCTTCATATAGTATAAGGTAGCTGCAGTAATGCACATGTACTTAAATGTGTTAGAATAAAGAAATAAGATGCCAATAATCTCTAAAGTTAGATGTATTGAAATATCTATTAACAATTATTTTACTTGGAAAACAATACTGTTGCAACAAATCCAATGTTTCTTTCAGTGTCGAATTTACAACAATGTTGTCATCAGTAATGAACATATTTTATTAAAAAATAAACTTGGTTAGCTTTTAATAAACAATAGCTTGCAATAAGTGCTTTATTGCTCTTATTGCAATTCAAATGAAGACGGCAGTAACTGTCCGGCTTTCAGTAATTTATATCAAAAGCAATTCAGCACAGTTGTATTATTTCCAGATTACTGTATAGCACATATGTATAGCACAGGGAATGTTGAAAGACGTGGTATTTGGTAACAATCATTTTGATCAATATGCCACAAAACTGATCCTTCCTGTGAGCAGAAACGAAGCTATTATTATTTTTTCTTTTTGAGATATATACAAGAGTTGTTACATTCTTGTACAGCCACTAGTACGCGTAGCGTTTCGGGCAAGTCCTTAATCCTATGGTCCCTGGAATACGATCCCCTGCCGCGAAGAATCGTTTTTTCATCCAAGTACACATTTTACTGTTGCGTTAAACAGAGGCTACAGTTAAGGAATTGCGCCCAGTAAATCCTCCCCGGCCAGGATACGAACCCATGACATAGCGCTCGCGGAACGCCAGGCGAGTGTCTTACCACTACACCAACTTCCAGGCAACTCCGGAGCTGGAGCCCCTACAGCAGTTCGTTGTTGCCGTCAACCTCGTCCTGACAGTTCCGGCGCTGGAACCAATCGTATTAGCGTTTGACTTTCCATTGGAGACTTTCGGCGTTGTGGAGAGGGGGGAGACCAGCTGCATGGGTAACAGCTTCTCCCCCGTATCAACCTACCCTGGCTTTGCGCCCTGAAGATGCCACTCCAGAGCGCAACTCCACAGTCTCCTGAGACTGATGGATGCCTATAACTACTACTATGCTTGAAGTATATACAGGACTGTGACAACTAGTAGTAGAGGGCTGTTACAGCCTGTAGCGCAGGGCTGTAACAGCCTGTAGCGCAGGGCTGTAACAGCCTGTAGCGCAGGGCTGTAACAGCCTGTAGCGCAGGGCTGTAACAGCCTGTAGCGCAGGGCTGTTACAGCCTGTAAGGCAGGAATGACATCAACACCCTGGGCTGGGCGGGCTGTCAATGTGAAGAAGATAGTAGGCAGTCTCTGAACGGTTCGATCAATTCGTACACAAGTATTTCACCTAAAATTCGTTTTCTAATTGCCAAAACTGCATATCGTACGTTATACTGGTTTATCTTATGCTGGGCTATGTTGAAATATCTTAGATGGGTTAGATTAGACTAGGTTAGGTTTATTACAACGAAAAACGTGCTGGCAAACCGTCTTCTGTACGAAACCTTCGTGTCAGGTTGCCCCTTCGTCGCCAGGCCGCAGGGAGCCCGCGTAAAAGTCCCTGGGACAATGGCGCGCAAACTTGCAACTCACTGGGTACAAACAGAGCGGGTCAGGGCGGACAAAATGAATGTTGAGGGAATATTATTTGCCTCAAATATTGACTCGCTACCCATCGTTGCCTGGGAACGGGTAGCGAACGTGGCTTCCCGCCCTCGCTGATGTTTGGGTCTTCGTTACGGGGCGGAGTACACGTTTTGTTTCTCCTTTTTGGCTTGTTTGCGTTCCTCTTGATACGCGGACTGGACACACTCGAGTGAGGAAACGGAACGCCATAACCGAGAGGTGTTAAGATAACAGATGAAACGAAAACTCCTTCTGGCTTCATTGTTCAGGTTGAGAGCAACTGTGGTCGGGTTGTTGGGCAGGGTGGAGGGGTGATTGGCAGGGTGGAGAGGTGCTTGGCAGGGTGGAGAGGTGATTGGCAGGGTGGAGAGGTGCTTGGCAGGGTGGGGAGGTGATTGGCAGGGTGGAGAGGTGGTTGGCAGGGTGGAGGGGTGATTGGCAGGGTGGAGAGGTGCTTGGCAGGGTGGAGGGGTGATTGGCAGGGTGGAGAGGTGCTTGGCAGGGTGGAGGGGTGATTGGCAGGGTGGAGAGGTGCTTGGCAGGGTGGGGAGGTGCTTGGCAGGGTGGAGAGGTGCTTGGCAGGGTGGAGGGGTGATTGGCAGGGTGGAGAGGTGCTTGGCAGGGTGGAGAGGTGCTTGGCAGGGTGGAGAGGTGGTTGGCAGGGTGGAGGGGTGATTGGCAGGGTGGAGAGGTGCTTGGCAGGGTGAAGAGGTGCTTGGCAGGGTGGAGAGGTGATTGGCAGGGTGGAGGGGTGATTGGCAGGGTGGAGAGGTGCTTGGCAGGGTGGAGAGGTGCTTGGCAGGGCGGAGAGGTGCTTGGCAGGGTGGAGGGGTGATTGGCAGGGTGGAGAGGTGCTTGGCAGGGTGGAGAGGTGCTTGACAGGGTGGAGAGGGGCTTGGCAGGGTGGAGGGGTGATTGGCAGGGTGGAGAGGTGCTTGGCAGGGTGGAGAGGTGCTTGGCAGGGTGGAGAGGTGCTTGGCAGGGTGGAGAGGTGGTTGGCAGGGTGGAGAGGTGGTTGGCAGGGTGGAGAGGTGCTTGGCAGGGTGAAGGGGTGAGCGGAAGGGTAGGGGGTGACAGACAGCGTGAAGGGGTGACACAGGGTGACAGGCAGCTGCTAAAATAAAAAACTCGTGAAGAACAAAGGACTATGGCCAAAATGATATACTCGTCCCCCCCCCCCTCACCCCCCCGGGGTCTCCCTTGTGTGAGAGGTAATTAAGGTGGATGAGAAACACCTGTGGCCCATGGAAGAGGCGCCGAGGGACAGGAAATGGCTACAATAATGGTGGGAAAGGGAGGAGGAAGAGGAATGAATTAATCCTGACCTTGAACTATGACGTGTTGATCCAAACTGCTGTCAGGTGTCATTCCTTCACCACCACACCTTGCAAGATTGGTTTTGGGGTAATTAAAGATCAACAGTCTCCGTGGTGTAGTGGTAAGACACTCGCCTGGCGTTCCGCGAGCGCTTTGTCATGGGTTCGTATCCTGGCCGGGGAGGATTTACTGGGCCCAATTCCTTAACTGTAGCCTCTGTTTAACGCAACAGTAAAATGTGTACTTGGATGAAAAAACGATTCTTCGCGGCAGGGGATCGTATTCCAGGGACCTGCCCGAAACGCTACGCGTACTAGTGGCTGTACAAGAATGTAACAACTCTTGTATATATCTCAAAGTCTACGGAGACAGGTAAGGAAATACGATAGCTAATGGAGGCTGTCAGCTAATGTATTAGTCGTCAGAATAATTAATAGTATTATTATTTTTTAAATATTATTATTTTTTTAATTATACAGCATTCGTTTTTTTACTCTACAAACGATTTCCTTTACATGTATTGATTACCCCCATATCACCTTCTTTAGGTAATATAGTTTATATCCTATAGGTGACATAAATATATATCACCTATATATCCTATAGTTGATAAAACCTACCTATAGGTGATAGGGAGGAGGCTTACACCACAGAGGTTGATG